CGCGGTGGTCGCACAAAAAGGAAGCAATATCGCCCTTGATATGATGAGCAACTTCAACTGGAATGTGTATCCTTACCTTCTCCTACCGGTCGTGAAAAATAACCACATTAGCCTCCTCATCTGTGAGCACCCGATGGCGACGAACGCTATTATCTACCACATTGATTCTCTCGGTTGCACTGATGGCGGTCACAAGGCAAAAGAACACTTTGAAGCAATGCAGTGGTTTCTCGAAAAGTAAGCCAGAAGTCCCGCACTGATGTCCCGTTATATTCTTACAAGACAGCGCCGTTACAGAGCAATAACTATGACTGTGGGGTGATTACCCTTCACTGTTTAGACAAACCTCACCGCTATCTGATGCAGCACAAGCCAATATTTCTATTGCATGATATTGAGAAACAACGTTCTGGCTTTGGGTCAGCTAAAGCCGAGCGTGCTAGTGTGAGAATGCATACCAAGCTTCAGCAGGAAATTGCAAAGCCGATTGAGTTGGATTGAAGACCTAGTTAGCATAAGCATAACTTCCGTTCAACAATAGATAATACGTTAGATGCGTACATAATTCCTATCAATGCCACCTCGTCAATTAGAGTGCAGCATTGCCATCTTTTTGGTCGGAAATTCTCGTGACGCTACATCCGTGCTTTCACAGGGCACAAAGAACAAAAAATTAGCCTTAGAAGGGCAACATTTACAAAACAAAAAGTGAAGGGGTTCCCCCTACTTTGTTGATTCTCGCCGCGAATGCAAAACAATATATCAGTCTTCTAATGACTGATTTCTCCATCCTGTAGCTCTCTCATATGTAATGAACCACATCATACTGTTAGAAGCAGCCTCCAACGTGAACAATGACTGTTGACGTACATTGGGGTTTGCGTTGTACTTGTTACTTCCCGCTGCGATTGTAGAGCGGTGTCGACGCCTCTACCGATGGGTTACACTTCATTGTAACCCTCTGCGAGATAACGAGCTGCGCTATAGTGTTAGAAGCCGCCTTGGACGTAAATTATTTGCGTAGCTGTACCTTTGATTCTATCTGCACCGCAATTTAATAGTGAGGCTCTTCAGACGATTTGAGACGGACTCCCTAAACATTGTATCCCTTCAATATAGATTTGATCGATTATGTGTCGGTAGGTCGGCGTCTGTCAGCACCGTCACGCTATGGAACTGGCTCATATCAGGTTTAGGAACTTTACGCACTACTGAATTTTAATAACTACAGTGGTGCACCTCGTTTTCGACAGGGTGGACCATATAGAGTCTGCCAACGGCGAAAATTTATGCAGGAACGCAGATGGGCCAATTGTAC